GATTTTGAAAAGAACAATCGGCCCTTCCTTACGATCACCGCCCTATTACGAAAAGTGTTTGTTGATCTCAAAGATAAGAAAAGTCCTTAACAGTGTAATGCGGACACTTCCGTGATGTCAACGCTAGGTTCTATCTTTATCAAGGTGTTTCGACTGTATATATAATTAAAGCGTATTCGAAACGAAAACTTTTATGGAAAAATTCAGGAATTATTTATTAACAGTTATTCATTTCGTTTTTCTTTAGCTGAAGAAAAAACTTGATGTGCAGGCAACTGTCAAGCATGCTGAGTTGGAATTAGTAAAGTAAGGAGTACTTATTCAAATGTATATTATCTATTGACTACCTTAAAGTGACCAAGATTTTTACAAATGAATCGGAATGAATAACGAGATATATTCAACAAGAGACACAAAGGTATCATAAAAAATACCCACGCAAGGAGGGAATCCAAACAACCTTAAAACTTAAACATTTCTTAATCCTTTTAAATGCCAAAAAAATCCCCCTTCCCGATAAATGCGCCTTAAAGTGAAGATAAAAAATCACAATCAGGTAAGATCTACCGCCGTAGGTTTTATTAATAAACTGTCTTGTTGAAAACTGAATCCGTTAGTCGTTGCATTACATTGGTCGGACCGAACTTAAACCTGTCCTGCTTACCTGCCTGCTTACCTGCTTGTATAATGAGCTCTGTTTCAGTCAGATTGAAATGTCTTTCACACTTTGAATGGATAAAATTCCTTTGAAGGTATTTAAATTAAGTTAAAAAAAGGCTGAGGTGACAGAAATTTTCACTGACTTAGTCGTTTATAATTCACTAACAATTACTGAAGAAGAAATGTATCTGATATTGGCAACGACTAACGGATTCAATTTTGAACTAAACAGTTCATTAAAAGAAAGTATGGGAGTACGCTCGAGTTGGTTTGACTGTAGGAGTAAATGAATGTAACTATAGCCTATAGGGATAAAGTTGGACATTCAAAGTCAAAGAAAATGGAAAAGGATCACGCAATAGCAAAATAACCTCTTTCGACCCAGGCCGCCGTTTTCGAAAAGAAATGACAAATAAGGGGCGGAAATAAACCAGGAAAGATTATTTTAAAAGCACTCGTTGAAAGTTAACAGCAATATCCCTTGGAAAAGAGCTGTTCTATCAACCGTAATCAGAAAGCAAAGGAATGGTGAAAAAACAGTGTACTTTAATTTTTTCGTAGGAAACAACTTGAAGGGAAGAACAAAGAATTTTATGATGTAAAAGTAGCAAGCACGACACAAGAGATGAACTTGAGAGAAGCACAGTTGAAAATTAAGGAAGTTGAAAGCTCGCTTAAAAATGAGATCGCCGTCCATCAGTCCGTATCTCTCAGGTATGAGGTAACTGTTTGGAACGTTATTTACTGCCAAGCTACTCTCTTAGACAAAAGTGTTAAGAACAAATGGACGTTGCCACGTCTGCTTTCAAGATAAAGCTATTGAAAGCACTGACCACCCCAAAAACTCCCTCCCCCTTCCCTGCCAAAGGTAGTATTGAAGTCCAGCTGGATCATTACTGACCCTGACTTAATAACATCGACCAAGGTGGGGCGAGGAGAGGGGCCTTGTCACTATCTTGGACAAAAAATGTTAAGAATTTTGCAAAAAATGCACTTTTTTAAAGAGCATTTTTGCAGGGTAAGAAAGTGAAAAATTCTTAACATTTTTTGTCCAAGATAGTAGCTAGATTTAAGACGGCAACGTTACGTACTATATTCTAAATCCATGACGATTGACAAAATGTTACCGAGCCACTTGTCAGTCAGAATGTGACTGTGGTTGCGAATCGTACCCATCTTTTCTCTACAGTGCCTCCCTCCCGACAGTGTTCCAAAAGCAGGATAATAAATCAGGGTGGCTGAACACAGTCTGATAGGTTGTCGATCGTTGCTATTCATTGTCGTGTTATTTAACACTCGTTGCAAGTATTAAGCTCAAATATGGCACGAGCAATGTATAGTGTGTACATTACATTTGTTAGGTTAAAGGTAAGATTGCGATCGTTACTACGGCAGCAAGGATAATTGAAAACAAGCCTAAAGTTTTGAACTAATTAGGTCTAATTAGGTTTACGCAAAATCCAGTCATTGAATTTCCGTAAAAATTTTCATACAGCGTACAATATATAACCCTCATTCTCTTAACATAAACAACACAAACAACTTAACCAAATTGTAACAAAGCGTTTTTTAGATCTCGCTGGACAGTTCCAATGATATGAGAACGGGGTTGTTGCTTTTTTTATTCATTATCAAACAAAACTGAGCTACTCCTACCAGTTCAAACCACATGACTCAGGCTTCACGTTGTGGACGCTCTGTTGTAGACGTTTCGTTTTCGTTTCCTGTCTATTCTTACCTTCCAGCGTTCTGCGAACTTTGTCATTGACTATTTTACAGAAATGATCAGCTGCAGCAGGAGGTCACAGTCTTGCGAGAACGAAACAAAAATGAACTCAGTATTTTGAAAAAGTCACTGGATGTTGCTATCGGAAGATGGTAAGAGAATCGTTCAGCTTTGTCCATTCGAAAACCTGTGTTTCCTGTAAAAGCGATATTTATTTGAACACCATTGTTACTTAACTATTTGTCAGGGAATCAGGTTTACATAGTAAGTGCAGCGATCAAGCTCAGACTCAGTGTGTTGAGAAAATGGACAATAAAACAATTCAGAAATTACGGGAACTTTACTTTAAAGTAAGTGCCTTAAATTTTCCCTAAACTGAGTATTTTTAATAGTTATTATTGCTCCTTTTAATACAGTTTTATTTTAGTTAGAACAGATTGCATCATCGTCATTGAAAATTGCGACCCTCTTGCTGCCACGATAACGGCGGTGTTCCATTTTACTGAAAATTCACCTTTCTCAAAATACACTTAAGCTTTAAAGGCTTTCAGGTTTTTAACAACCAATTGAATCTCTTTTTCTCATATCTCGTAACCATGGCAACTGATTGAGGACAAATTTTGTCAAAATGTCTAAAACATAAGGTAAGGTAAGCCAAAAAGTTGACAAAAAGTCGTTCTAGTCAAAAACTAGCGAAAGGCGTCCACCTTCTCTGAAGACGAAATTTGAACCGCTTTCTTGTTCTACTTTCTAAACGATGTAGCAGCAAATATTATTTTTCAAGCTAACCTGTTTATCCTTTATTGATGTACATATTGCAACATTTTTAAAAAGTTTTCTCTGAACATAGTTTGTTCGTGTTATAGGTTTCAGAGCTTGAAACACAGCTGAACCAAGAGAAAAATGATCACCTTTTATCACTGGCTCAGGTCCGAGTAGAAGGGCAAAGATACATGACAAGGGAACTACGAACGGATTAATATTTTTTTAATCTTACTCTACAGTGGTTTTTTATCAGCTATCTGATAACATATTTCTTACTAGCTGTCACCTTGTACCAAAATGCTAATTATTTACAACTGATTAAATGTAATTTTGAAGGCTTTTTTAATATCTACCTTTTTAATTCCTCATGGTTTTTTTATACGGTCGTTTGAAATAAATCGCACTCTATGACTTCAAATAAAACTTTCCTTAACTGAAACCCTGAAAAGTCTCTTGACATCATTATTCTTACAGGTACGAAAAAGAATTGACTATCGTCTATAACTGACCTAAAAACTAGATGAAAACAGGCACCAGTGGTCAATTCTTTGTCCACTCGTCGATTTGCACATTTTCCTCACGTGACGGGTACTGGTTTGTGTTTGTTCGCATGGTACTCTTGAAATGTCTGATTTAGCTCTGCCTATTCCCCTCTTAATTCGTGTCAAAAATTATATGGCGACCAATCGATCCATCCGACGGATAACTAGTGTAGGTGATAAACAATTTTCCTTTCCCAATTGCTGGTTTGCAAGTGACATCACAGCAACTATGTTGGTGATCAAGAACAAAAGAATTTCTCTACTCTGGGAACTAAACTCTACTTTCAGGTAATTTCTACAAAAAAACAGTTTGTTGTATTGACCACAAACATGACCGCCTTCTCACGTGGTTGCAAACCAAGAATATTGAGCCACTGCCTCAAAATAAACTTTTCAAGAGCTCCCATTCAACACTTCGGCCTTCACTGCAGCAGAGTAATAATTACCTTTCCATGTCCTTTATTGACTCCCGCGTCGTTAACTTGGTGTAAACCAGAATTAAACGATCCCCCTCCCCCTGCGGTTCCTGAAGTCGTAGTGCCGGTAATTCCTCCACCAGAATAACCCCCACCACCACCCCCAAGAGTTACTGCACATCCTCCCCCACCAAATCCTCCATTTTGTACTGCCACATGTCCCCCTCCAGTACCACCGGCAAGAAAACTTCTAGCCGGAGTGATGCCGATATTATTTGGTGCATCCCCGTCTCCCATATATCCTGCCCCCGAGCTGGCTTTGATATCTGGGGAGTCGAAAGTTTTCTTCGCAATCTGATATCGGAATCCACCCATTCCGCCATACCCACCATATTGCGTACCATTCTCCGATTTTTGCCCTGGGTCACCATCTCCGTAGCTAGGTTTGGCCAAGCTCCCACCCCCACCCCCACCAGCGATAACAATTATGGTATTGTCCACAAGCGTAACGAACGTCCCTCCACCCCCTCCTCCCGGACGCTGATTAAAATACTCGGTTAATAGGCCCTGCCGACCAACCAAAATCTTCAATGCTGTTCCTTTGTTGAAGTAAAAGGTTCCTTTTATTCTTGCACCCAGTCCACCGAGCTTCCATCCTGAACAGGTTTGGCAGGTACCATTTCCTCCAGAGGCACCAAAGGCCTCTATGACGTAAGTCCCGGATTCAGGTACTTGCCAAAACTGAATGCCTTGTTGTACGTCTACCTGCCCCTCTAAAGAAGTTCTTTTGTAGCCTTCAAGTTGTGCTTTGGTAGGGCCATCTTTTCCCCTCGCTCCCAAGGTGGTAAATATAAATCGGTTTGTTTTCACGTCAATGAATTCACCATATACATATCCTAGAGCATTAGTGAGGCTTGCATTCCTGTTGTTGCGGCAACTTGCTCTATTAAGCTCACATAAACCTTTCTCGAAAAGTTCCAGTGTTTTTATAAAATTAAATGAGAGGCAATTTGACTGTAACAAGCAAAGGTGGGCACATGCCTGAATGCCTTGGGTCAGGTGGCTGGATATGACGTAATCGAAAAGTACATAGTCGTCATACAAGTTTGTAAATGACGAGGCCGTTATGTCAAAGCGCGTCAGCGCCGTTGAGATCGAAAAGAAAGTTGAGAAAAAGAACAAATGGAACATCAAGCATCTGAAAATACGAAAAAAAAAGAAAAACAACTAGACTGAATACTCTGTGTTACATCTTAAAATTCCACTACCCCTCTGCTAGTCATAGCAGTAAAACCCTTCAGAATGTCCATCGATTGCTGAGTTCCATCATCTCCCACCATCAGTGAGGCCAACTGCTAAACATTTTAAATTAAATTTAACAATTATTCCACGAGGGCGCGTTGGATATGACATGATAGATAGCCAACGAGGCGCGTAGCGCCGAGTTGGCTATAATCATCTCATATCCAACAAGCGCGAGTGGAATAATTGTTTTATTAAAAACGCCCACAAAATCTTAGACTACGAGTAGTCCCCCATTTTTCCTCAGGGATAGTAGAGCCAGCGAAACGCGAGCGCGCGTGAAAATCACCCCACGCGAGAAAAGGCGACACGCGGCGGGGAGAGAGAAAATGAGCCGCGTGTCGCCTTTTCTCGCGTGGGGTGATTTTCACGCGCGCTGGCGTTTCGTTCGCTATACTATCCCTGAGGAAAAATGGGGGACTACTCGTAGTCTAACAAAATCTCGTTGAATCTCCCCGACTAGAACAAACCGGAAAAGACAAGGGACTTCCGCTATTCACATGTCACACGTCTATCAAAACTGTCAACGCGCGAACGGACTCGCCTGGACTGCATGAATGAAAAATCTAAACATTGTAGCGATGAAGATTAGTTTTTTAAAAACTCATCGGGATTCTAGGATTTTACACAGCAGAACAGCTAAAAAAACCTGGCAGATAATGTGAAGGAAAAGAATTTTTAAGTGACAGCCGTCGAAATTACTGTGAATTTGGATTTTCGGTGCAGTTATAAAAGCAAGATGACGGAGAAAAACTATTACCTCGGTCGCTTGTTATGAAGTTGTTTGAAGCCACAAGCTGGTTTTGCTGAACGTGAAAAGAAGCTATACTGCCGCCTCGATTGCTGTAGTGAATGGCTGCATAGCCTGTATTTGTAGCTGGTTACTTGTGATTTATATTCTTGATGTCGGATAAACAAGCCCCAGTTATATATCGGCGAGTGACTCGATCGGCGAATGGCTTCGCGATCATGAAGAAACAACACTTGTTTTCTTTCGTAGCTGGTCAAGGTACTTTGGTTCCATGTGTTTTCATGTGTGTTTTTCGACAAACTTTCAAACAAGCTCTTGTGGCTTTTTTGTTTGTTTTTGTCTTTTTTCTTTCGATGAAATTGCATTTCTAGTATCCTAAGAAATGAATTAAAACGATTTGCTTCGGGCGCCGTTCTATCCTTCGCGAAAAAAAATCTCAGCTAGCTTCCAATTTTAGAGGGTGTGAATGGGGTTAACCGACTAGCGACAAAGGGCAAAAAATATTACCGACTACCGACAAAACGCGAAAAAAATTACCGACTACCGACAGGAAAATTATTAACCGACTACCGACATGGACCGACATTATCTATATTTTTTTCAGAAAGAAGAGTATATTGTATTTTTCCTACCTTTCTAGGAAGTAACCCAAGATACCACGTCACAAGTCTTTTTACAAGTCAGTATCACAAAACGAGGATATTGAAATCGGTTTGCAGAGCGTATGCCAAAAATTTCTACAACCCGCCTAGTCCTAAACATTATATGCGACAAATGCTTAAATTAATCCTCAAAGGAAATTCTTTCTCGTTCAATGGTAAGCTCTACCTCCAAACCCACCGTACCGCGATGGGCACAGAGACAGCAGGTTCCTCTGCCAACATTTTCATGTCATATATTGAAACACAAAGTCTAAGCAGCTAAACCGTCTTTAAACCAGACATCGTAAGTTTCTTCGAAGAAGCAAACTTGCATGATCCTACTATAATTAAATTCACCACCGAAATTCACTGAGACAATGTTTTTAGACACATTTGTATACAAAGGCACAAGATTAAACGAAAAAGTTATCCTTGATGTAAAGACTACGGAAACCTTCCAGCACACATTTTGCGGCTTGTCACCCACCGATTTGTCAAAAGAGTTTGAGGAAAGTGTTTTAAAATTCAAAAGAACGCTAGATGGTTGATGATGTACAGAGGCTAGCAACACAATTTGAAAGACAAATTGCAATCAGAAATAAATGAAACTCACAGAAACCGAAGACCGCGCTCCTGAAACAAAACCGAGCAAGGAAGGAAAAGAAATGTTGCCTTTCTTGACACAATAGGGAACTTAGGGATGCACCATTAGAAATGTGAAGGGGGGGGGAGTCCAAAAACAAAAAAAAAAATCCTGCAAAACAAAATTTTAAGAAAAAAAAATCCTGCATTGCAACGAAACCAGAAAAAAATATCCTGCTTGGATAACCAATGTGACTGCGACAATATATTACACAGTCTGAAAAATAAATCTGTGATCTGTAACAGGAAATCCCCTTCCCCCAACTTCCTAAATTCATGTCAAACTACATTTCAGGCAGAAAAAACAATTTCTACTGGCTAAATAGAGATTTCAATTTGAACCAACTCTGATGCCCTTGATCTCTATAGCTGCCATAGTATTAAATTAAGAGACTGTGGTGATAATTGTTTAACTTTATAAATTAAATAAACTTTTTTATTGAAATACTTTTGTTTTAATGGGATTAAAGTGAGATTGTGTTAACAACGTCAATAGTTCCACTTGCACGCAAGTTTATGGAGTTGGTGTTGTACAATATGCGTTGCTACTTGAATCCATAAAGTTTACAGCTATAAACAAAAGTAGATGTCCCAAAAACACCAATCACACTGCAGATCCCGCTGCATTTAAAAGTATTAAGAATATTATTTACCCAAACTAACACAAAATATTTTGAATGCTTTGCAAAACCATAAATAGAAATGGTGCATTCTAATAAAAACTTGAACCTAAACATATGGGCCACAGACATATGGTAGGATTTAGAGGAAATGTTCTTCAAGTTCTTCCTCTGTATCCCAGTCCTCGCCTGATGAAGACTGACATGCTGGCTGCAGTTTTACTTCTTCTTTTTCTTCTTCTTCTTCTTCTTCTTCTTCTTCTTCTTCTTCTTCTTCTTCTTCTTCTTCTTCTTCCTTTTCTTTCTGTTTTTCTGTGTCTCTTGTCTTCCCTCAGGTTCTTTCTCTGTGTTCCAGTCCTTGCATGATAAGGACTGAGATGCTTGCTTTCCTTCTTTCTGTTTCTCTGTTTCTTGTCTTCCCTCAGGTTCTTTCTCTGTGTTCCAGTCCTCGCCTGCTTGAAATTTCTTCTTTTGTTTTTCTTTATTTTCCTTTAGAGCATTCTTCTTCCTCTTTCTTCGCAATACTTTACTTTGGGTAAAACACCGTTTGATCTGCTTGTGTAGCTGTTTCAACTGCCACTGAACTCAGTTCGGACGTTTGAACGTATAGATTACTTCATGGGCAGCGCGGGCGTACGGTATTTACGCACGAGTTGGTTCGCATCAGAAATTGAACGAGCAAGGCTTTGCGAGTGAGATCCAGAAAGCGAGAGAGATTTATCTGACATACAATGCGAAAAAAGTCCATGTCTAACACTGCACGTGTTTAGGTGTCCTATTACATTATGTACTAAACATCTGTGACTGGACGAAACGCTTTTTTCACGTGTGTGAAAGTCGTTTCGCCATTCTGATTGGCTGCGAACCCTGAACAGGGTTTTCACACGCCAAATTTCAATAGAAAATCTCAATTAGTATGAAAAAAATATACTTAAAACAAACGTGTTCTGTTGGAACACTACAACAAAAAACATTTGCGCGGTTGAAACAGTCTAGTAAAACAAGACCAAAAGAGGGCATAGTCATTTTGGAAAAAAAAAATCGTGCAAGGGTTTGAAGGTTGAAAAAAAAATCCTGCACTCCTGCTGGTTGTGAAAAAAATAACATGCCTTTCCAGAAAGTCCTACCCCCCCCTTCACATTTCTAATGGTGCATCCCTTAAGAACCGCGACGAAGTTCACGACGACGTCGACGACGTCTGTTGACTGGGAAAAGACTGGAACGAGAACGTCAGTTTCGGGAGGAAAAAGGAAACTTAAAATGCAATCGGTCGGTAGGTCGACGACGACGACACTGAACTAGGGGTAAACACAAATGTAAGACTGTGATGTTCGTTCGCAACAAAGTTTTTCGCAATGGCGTCTTTTAAACAGTGCAAGGTCTAATTTTTAAGCCGTACGTCTAATTTCATTGACGATGGAGAATTTTTTGTGTTGTCTGACTTTTTCGAGTGGAAAAACACCTGCTTTCCGCACAAAGATTATTCACCTTTCAACCTGAATGAGACGACCGAGTCCGACTGTCTTTCAGAGTTTAGATTTGGAAAAAGAGACATTCTGATGTGATAGCTGTTTTCTATATAAAGTTTATTTCCTCTATATTAAAGATATATGATTTGCCTTACCTAAATACGTACAAATAAATTTCTCACTTACGAGTTCGCTCGCTCGGCCTCCACAGCTGTTGTCATTCTTCGAAGTAAAAACAATTCATTATAGTATACTTTTAGTCTTCATAGCCAATAACATCACGCCTTAACTGACAGACGACCATTAACGTGGCGACGTAATTGACCAAGCAGATCAATAACCAGAGTCCGCGTAAAGTCCCTTTACTAATTATCTTGAGTGACGGTTGCTATGCTCAATTTCCTGTTAGCATTTTACCTCCGATAGCAGGGGTCAGATTAGCTGTCATCGGTAGTGATCTTCACAGAGGCGATGAAACAATTCTAAATTTCGCAACTGTCTGTTAACATGGTTAAAACAATACTAGGAGAGGTAAATACATGTAAATATAACAAGTCGAGCACGGTCTTTTCAACTATTCTCCGCAGGGCGGATAAAGGTTGGGCGGTGAAACGAGCGCTCCGCTCTTCACTTAATGTGTGATGCGGAGTAGGACTGGCACGAGCGCTCTTTCCGCGCTTCCGGTGCCCTTGAAGGCCCGCAAAATTTTTCTTTTTGCAAACCGGAAATCCTATTTTCTTTCTGTAATTTCAGGCTACAATGTGAAATAGATAAATTCGTTTCATAACAATATCAATAAACAGTTTCATATGTTTGTGTCTGTACGTCTATAAGCAGGGTTCGCACGCACCTTGAAAGTCCTTAAAAGTCCTTAAATTTTAAAATAAAAATTCAAGGCCTTGAAAGTCCTTGATAATTGCAGTCGGTGCTGGAAAGTCCTTGAATTTCAACGATAACTTAATAGTTTAAGTAGAACTCCAAAGAAAAAGGAGTAAACACAGAAAGACCTTCGGGATAAAATTACTCATGTTGTGGAAGAACTAAAAAAGACATAGACTCAAGGCTCTTTTTTTGCACTGAATGGCGTCCTTGAAAAATGGGGAATGTGTCCTTGAAAGTCCTTGAAACCTTCTTGAATTTTTTGTTCAAAAAAGGGTACGAACCCTGTATAAGTCAAACTTGTTGGTCGTATAATACCAAAATTTGAGTTTAATTTGAAAGCGTTGAATACCTCCTCCTTCCACTAAATATCACCTAGTCGTCTTTCACCGTTTCGTTTGCAAAAGCTTAACACTTCTTAACCTCAATTCTTACATATGTTAAAGGAGGATAAATTTTATATAACATAACAAAAAATTAGATTGATATATATTGATATAGTGGCGTTGTACTTCTTCAAGCTTCTCGGGTGCAACGCGCCACGGCGATTCGCGCAATGCGTTGCAAATCCGGCAACCGCATGTAAACAAAATTGATTGAGGTTAGTTGTAAGGTTTTTTCTCCGTTTTTCTCTCTAAAACAAAACAAGGTAAACAGTAAAAACTGAGGGGAAACTAATTTTGAAGTTTCGAAGAAACAGAAAGACGTATGAGATGTTTTTTTTCAAAATTAAAAAGAAGGATGATGGTGACTGAAATTAGCATAATTTCACCTTGCACGAGCTGCACGCATTTATAAATTACACGCCATCTAGTTATGAAGCACAATCTGCTGTCTTTTAGTTTTGCCATGGATGACATGGATGAGATTTTCCCTCGTGTTTTAGACAGTACTTAGTTGTTTTTGTTTTGGAATAACATCGACATTGGCGAGTAGTAGAACGAAAATATAATTCAGTGGTAGAGTCATGGAAGTAAGGGACTGGTCAAAAAGTATAGGGGGGGTGGGCCGGAGCAGAGAGGGGGTGGGTCATGAGGTTTTGAGCCTTGTGCAAGGGGTGGGTTGTGCAATTTTCAGCTACCCTTAGGGGGTGGGTCACCCTATTTTTTACTAACTACTAACGAGACAGTTGACTACACTTGTTATATAAAATACCGCCAGCTGGAATTATTGCTAAAATACTCACAAACCTGTTGTGCGAGAAAATACAAAGGTTGACAAGCCGCACATCTATACGGGCGTGCAACCCTCCGTTAACCTTTTTTTTTTCGGCTCTAACAAGCATGTCCTTTAACGATTTTCCTTTTTTGTAAGGAAATGATTGGTGGTTCTTTAAAAATTTATTGAAGTTATAGTTGGTTTTGTATAAAATTCCATTTTTTCATTCAAGCTTCCTTTATAGTAGACACTGAGGGCTGGTATTGTGTCACGAATGGCAATATTTCTTTTTCCTCCTTGCTGTTTTGTTTTAGGAGTTTAGACTCCCTTTTGTGAATTCTTTTTCTGATAGTAGATTTTCTATCAAAGATAGGGGGCAACAAACGAGAATATATTTCAAAACCACTTAAACGTAGCATTGTTAAACGTATTTTAGTATTTAAACAGTAGATAGAGGCATATTTTTATCCCTAAAAATTTTTCATCTGTTCGGATCTCCTTGCTGAAAGTATTGTGATACGCAAATTGTAGGGATTAAAACTTACCTTTTCGAAAATTTCAGCCAGAAAAAAGGCTCCCGAAAATTCTAGGTGACCTTAGGGTAAAAATCCGTTAAAAATGGGCAATTATACCATTTTTTTAGATGTTCAAAAATCCTAGGAGGGGCAGACAAGCAAGAAATTTTACAACAAATGTTCCGAAAATTCTAGATCTCAAATCGTCTTTCGAACAGATATTTTCCGAAAATTGACGTTGGGTGCCCCTGAAAAATTGTGGGTAGCCTCTGTCCGTCAAGCGTTTTTTTTAAAATTTGAATTATTTTCCTCAAAGGCTGTTTCTGAGCAGTTTTTTCGTAGGATTCTTAAGGCTTCTCCTTTGACAAATTCTTTTTTAACATCTGGAGGGTGACACGAAGTGAAATGTGTGTG